TACGATACCTAGGGTACCTCACATTTTTGAATTACGAACAATAATAGGAAACTGTGTAGGGAACGGACCATTGAACTTGCTGATAGCGTCAAGATCGTCTCCCATTTCAGCAGTATCGGGTATGGCTCCTCTGGTTTTCAGATTCGTCTCACCGTCCAACTCTTTGGTTTCAATGTAGCAAATGCCATGAGGTTCAGATGTCGAAAGCAGCAGCAAATCTGCCTGAATCGCTTTCATAATACCCCCATTCTAAAAATCTTCCAATCCCCATTCCAAAAACTTTGCCAATCAGTTCCATTTCAACTTACCGCGACGAATTGATTACTCATCATTCGGATGACATCTCCTACTTTGACCTTTGCCCATTCTTCCTCGTTCAGATGGCCGTTTCGTACCACGAATGACTTCCGACCGTTGACATTCCGATCGGAGATATGCCGTTGCTGGAATCATAAGGAGCTGACTGATAACCGATAAGGGCATGAGTCACACCATGTGAGCACTACGTGCTTATCGCCTTGTCACCGAAACGGAACCGCGGTGACTCTACTGCAACATTACCGAAAAAGCGTTCAAAAATAATAATTAATGTAAGAATCAGAGCATGAAGGTATAGCTAGGACGCCTTCAGAAAAAGTAGCGTAGTCACCAACACGTCGCTGTCGCTGCCGCTTGTCCTGTTCAACAACTGGTGGAGAATCGGCCTAACCCAGCCCCTCACATGTCTCAGCATCTGCAGCGAAAACGACTGTATGAGTTGCAGAAGAAGATGACCCCACGTAGAAAGCTCAAACTTAGAAAATAGGCAAGATCCAGGAGAATCAGTCTAACTGCCGCGCTGTGGTCGGCGTTCGCGCGCGACCGTCGCGCCGCAAGTGACGATTGATTACAAGGTAGTAGATGGAGACAAAGAGGCAAATTAGTGAATGTCTACGATGACGGGGTCTACATGAAGTCCGGTGCTCCAATCGACAAGTTAACACGAGTTAGAAAACGCCGCGCCCATCGCCGCGCGCGGCGGAGCGGCAAATTACGATTCTCTTGCCCGTTTCCCAAAATCCACAAAGGGATCAATCAATACAGATCAATAAGGACAATTAAGAAGACTCACCATGTCATCATAGCCGTCTTTGACAGCACTGAACGCTAATACGATAACTAATGGTATAGCTGTTGAATACCATGATATAGACGATATTTGAGGTATAAACTGAATTTAAAAAATTGAGTTACCGTAGGGTTTCACCAATGGGAAACACTTACCTGTAATATCATAAGGACTAAGAAATAGAAATTTGCTATCCGTTGAAATTGCTCGAATAAATTTTGCGGAATAAATGTAATAGCATTGTATTTAGACGTTTTTATAAAGTTACCCTGAATGAGAAATAGTAATTAATCAACGTAATCCCCCTCCGTGCCTTCCTTACCGCATATTTGAATTGAGAATTGAAGACACGATCGTTGGCTCGTAACCGCCGCTCCTCTTCACCTCGAATCACATCTTCACTAGGTGAAGCGCCTCGGCTACAGCATCCGCATAATCGTTTGAACATTGAGGGACGTTCGGAACTGGGCACGATAGCTGCAATTGACGCTATAAGACCCCATTGGGAAGGGATTCATTCTCGAGCAAATAACACCACCTACGTTTGCTCTCCGGATCTCCCAAATAGCCTGGGTTGTCCGAGACGGCTGGAGCTATCGCAGCTGAAATCAAGTGCTTGAATTGTTACTCAAGAGTAAGAGCGAAGAGTTCAGAGTTCGCGCTCGATGGATTGCTCGACTGGATCGCGCGATTGGATCGCTCGACCGGATCGCTCGACAGGATGGTGCGATCGTATCGCTTGACAGAATCGCGCGACCGGATCGCGCGATCGCGAAGTCTGAACGCGCTTCAAAATATATTGAAACCAGTCGGATCGCCCAGCTGTCGCCGGGCGCTCCTTCTGTGACATGGCCCGGCTTCGCCGGACCATGCGGATTTGCCGCGTGCTAAGATCGTTGACCAACCACACTGTTCAAAGGAATCTTCTGCATCAGCCAAGAACTGAAAAGCAGCGCTCGTTCCGTCAAGACGCAGAAGCAGCAGCAGCGCCCCCGCATCACAGAAGGAGGAAAGCCGGCCTTAGCCAGCGATCCGACTGGTACGTTCATAACCTACACGGGAATAGTGCAGCCTGTTAGGATAGCCGCTGAAGCAGCCTATAATTTATGCATTCTGTCCTCCTAAAGCGTCTTGCTTTGGAATGCACTCCCGCATTCAGCAGTGGAACCCTTTAAATGGCCCTCACTAAGGTTGTTGATGGAAGATAATTGTGGTAAGAGTGATAAAGTCAGTTGCTGCTGTTCATAACATCTCTGTAAACAAACCCCATGCATTTGGAATAAGACTAGCTATAAGGGGGTCGTACATGATGTCTATTACTAATAAGCGAGAGGGAATGAGTTCTGTTGCGCAATCACTGCAGATCGTTACAGTTGAGTCATGATCGATGCATTGTTTTTTTGTGAGGGTTAACGGATGTTTCCCTGTTATCGTTTGTCACTTTTAGAATCCTATCACTTCCGCTAGGACGCGCCATAAATCCCGTCTGATGAACCCCTTCTGACGCCCTTCCGTGAGGCCAGCTATATCATATCTTTATCACCTGTTACCGACTTTCTGATCGCCACGCGCACTGTTCCAAGCTCCACCTATATCAACTTCACCGGAAACTGGTGGTCCCATGACCGTATGCTAGTAACGGCACGCTACGATTTTGAATGATGAATTTCCATTGCTGCGAAGCTCTATTCGGATCTTATCAGAACATGTTATCAACTTTACCTGTCAACGCCCGAGTCAATAATGTTACCGTCCCACACCCTATAATCACCTCTACTGGATCAAGGCACCAGATGCTTGTTTGGTTGACGGGGGGGGCATATTTGTCATTATCATTGCTTCCCTAGTTGTCCGGCTTACAATGTGCACTCTATAAATCTTTGTGAATTATCTCAGGTGCAAGCTGAAGTGAGATGTCTAGGTCCCAACCATACAAAAGTATCGAGAAACGGCTGCCTAGTGGTCGACCCAATCCATGGAAAGCAAGAGTGTTGGTAACCCCCCCCCCATCGGACAAAACTGCGGCCCAAAGCATTGTGCTGTGAGCCGTAATATTAGTCCTTTCCTTCTAATGCCCATTATCTTATCAGATCTTATCAGCTGATACCACATCCTGTCACCTACCAATAATGTTTTCGTTCCACCTCCTATTTCCCTGCTCGGAAACCATGTCACACTGCTGCATGTGGGCCCTGCACTATGACTAGGTGACCATTCCAGAACCCTTTGGACGTGTGTGTGTGTGTGATGATCATCCTGTCACCCACAATGGGTTCCCGTCACATCTCACCATGACTCTGGAATCAACGTTTCTCTGCTACTGGACGGGTAATTTCGAATCAGCTTCTCTCTTTGCCTGTAAGCCTCGCATCAAGTTGTGTTGAATTCGTATTAGTATTGCTGTGCCTAAATTAGAGGTTTTTAAGGTGGAGTATGTTTATTGTGCAACGGCCTGAAACGTTCGAACAAGTGAGTCGTCTTCGTTCAGAGGCCAGAAGCACTCACCGTGAATAACCGCGTCACATACAGACATCGGATGTTATCAGTAAAAAAAAAAAAAAGGTTTTATTTCTACATGACTAACACTTCTTTCAACTGGGACGGGATTTTTCTGAATCTCTCGCTCCCGCACACACAACACACGCCCACACATCACCGACACAACACATACATCACACACTTAGCGATTAATATATACGATGGATGGAGCATAGTTATGAACAAGCAGGAAGTGAGCCTTGAAGCGTCTTACGATTTGCTGTGAGGCCAATGCGCGATTAGCGTACTCGTCCCAAGCTCAGACAGAAGAAACGGTTCCTGTAAATACAGCCTTAAACCAGAGGTGACTTAGGGCCAGATCGCCCAAAGTGCTCAAGTCTCCAGCCGGGTTCGCAGAGCGAAAGAAGCAGCAAGTAGGTGCTGGAGCGAGCGTTGACATAGCAGCGCGAGTCCATTAGATACCTCATTCAGGAGCACACCATTCAAAAGTCTTGGACAAGCAATCATTTGAAACGACGTCCAAAAGGACCTTAACGACTTTTCACTAGGAAACGGTAGCTGTTGGTAACACAAAAAAGTGGACAGATACGCGGCATGGGTTCCCATGACGGTTACTGATTTATGGAGGCCTCAGCCCTGCCACGTTTTCCAGCACAACTTCCTCTTGTCCAGCAAAAAAATTAGGCCTGCAATTTAAGAGGTTTTGAGGTATATTGGAAGGAATACTGTAACCAAGCAAGACCACTGGACATTCAAACTTCTCGCGATTACACCTTGCAGATAAAGGGGTTCGGAAACGGAATTGTACGCCTATTATAAGAAACAAACAGAGCAAACAGTGCGAAATCTTAGACAAAACCTCATAAATTCAACCACTGCAGGAAAAACAGCATGTGTCTGAATCAGGTCTCACTTGCTGATGACCCAAGAATGTCAGCTCTTTCACCCAATCGGGCCATTTTTCCGAAAAGGATCCTTACCGTTTCCAGACCTATCGCAGTTGTTCGCATACCTCCACGAGAAAGAGTTTCAAGTGAGCCTTTTCCAAAGGGTCCAAAGCATTATCTCCTGTACGAGGCTCAAAGTGATGGCCCCAAAAGTGAAAGTTTCCAAAGCTTCGTCACAGTGGTGATGATATCAAATTTCACAGAAAAAAATCAGAAAGAACTTGCGCGGGTGCGATCCTCCCATCCCACACGGTGTTACCTGTCCTTCTGGAAAGGAGGGAGGCGGCATGGAATAAGGTGTGATCTCCCTGTTCTCATGCACATTGTAGGGATGAGTGCATTTTTGGGACTGGGCGGCCCCCGTGCTTCAGTGTGAAGGAACACTTAGACGGTCTAAAGCGGGTCAGTATGGCCATCGTCTAAAATGCCATGGAGAAGCGGAGTTTGAGGCTACTGGAAGATTTTGATGCGAGAACTCCAGACATATGCACCCACACTTTGGACACCTTTCGAATATACAATAAAAGTCCCAAAATGAGAAGAAAAGACGAATGCCTTGTTCATCACAAACGAGCGCGCTCCGTTTGCTGACCCTTGTGGGCTCAACCCATCGGCTCCAAGTTGAGGGGCTAAGACAAGCCAAGCCACCCACAGGGGAGTCAGTTAGTGGTGGTCTCAACCAAAACATGTAGTGTATTTGAGTCATATTGTGGTTGTGATCTATGACAAGTTTTTGGACGCCTCGGACGAACTAATCTGAAGTTTAAAATGGTATGCAGGAGGTATTGCTTCGGTTTGGTCCCATAAGTAATAGCCTTTTTCACTCGCAATTTCGCGCTACAGATGAAAAGTTTTGCTATCATTTACACCGTTTCGCAGAGAATTCATTGCCCTATAAGATAGATTCCTTACTTTTCGGAGGTTCTGTTTCGAACAATTTTTAAGTGCTCAAACTGGAATGTCAGGTCGACGAAACTGAGCATTTTCGACAGCCTTAACACTTGCACTTTGCAGGCTTATAGTTGAAAATCCCTGACGATCGGATAGGCTGGTGGCCTGGCACCGTACTTGATTTTAAAAATGGGCGGTCGCGCCCCAGATTTTCCGTAATATATAATAATTGCCATTTTGGAGCTATTTTGATCTCTGATTTTTCGATTTTGAATCATGTCTACATCTAACAGAACAAGATAGCAGTTGTCCAAAATTGAAGTATCCCACGAGAACCCTTCTTTGCCATGCTCTAAAGCCACGCCTACTTCGTCCGCACAGGCCTATGTACTTGTTGAGTATATGACCAGAAGCTATATCTTTTACTAACGGTTCAGGCGATTCACATATTTTAATTTCGACTTCACAAACAAGCCTCGAACATTATGCCCTACTGTGTTCAACAGAGCGCTTACTGGACCAGCTTATTCGGGAAGATCCATGCCAAAGTATGAGGAATTGTTGGAGGACAAGGAACGCTTCCATACCATCACTCAGCTTCACCCTCAATTGATGGGAGATGTTCAAAAGTTGGTGGATAGCTTCTGCAGGCAGTCCATCCAAGGAGGACGCCCTATGCAGTTCACACTTATATGATCTAAATTCCCATCTCCTAATCGTCTGATCCCACTTCGAGCCGTCATAAGAAGCGTTTTTTTTCTGTTCTGCTGACATACATGGGCAAAGTTTGAACTTCTTCTGTATTTTTGAGAGCCGAGATAAAGTGCAAAAAGTTGTTGTTAAAAACTCACTTTCGTTTATCCGCCTTTCCGCTTCAATGGAATGAAAATCGACAAAATAAGAAACATTAGGCATACTGAATTATTTTGCAGGAGACTGCCTATCAAATGGCATAGAACATTGGGAACGATTTTTCACTTTTTGTTCAAAATTTTGTGCTGAAGAAATAAAACACCATTTCCTTAATGGACGCAGCCTAGTAGTTTGACACCGAATCTTTTGACTCTAGGCACTGACGAAGGCGGTCTACGGGGCAACTCGAACACGCATT